TGGATCCATGTTTCATTTATTGTCACATACCGACACAAAAAATTATATTTATTTCGCTTGAACAGCTCAAAACAGCGTTCTGAATCGTTGACGCGTTGTGTTGCTTTGGGTCCGGTGTGAGCAAACGCAGTACCCACTTTGATAGCAATTTGCGGATGCCCTAATTTTCATGTAAAATTGTAAAGACACTATCTTCTGATATCTTCAAGGTTTCAGCTATTTCACGCAACTTTATTTTACGGTCTTTTAAAACTATTTTAGGAAAATTTTTTGTATTTTCCGAGAAAAACTGGCAATTTTTGGCGACCAGAGCGTTCAGCATCATCGGTGCTTGTACATGCGTTTAAATTCAGCATACCAATCAATAATAGTTGATTTCACTGATGTAGAGCCCCCATAATGCTTATCAAGGCACTATTTGTCTGCAACAGTATTTTTCCTATCAAAAACTGTATTTAATCAACACACGAAATTCCTTTCCATCCTTTGTCTTGAAAATTACAAAACTGGGGTCACTAAAACGATTGTTACCTTTTAAGCTAACGGTCAGAATGCCATGAAATTTTGACACTTACTGTTTGACAGTTAGTGCTACGCGGAAATCACGTGAGTCTGTCAACAATGCTGCCATATATGTTTCAGACTGTGGACTAATTGAGTGATGTGTTAAGAATGATCGGTAATGTAAGAGAATAAATTTGAAAATAAACGAATTAGAGTATATGTAGTTCCGATTATTTCTTATAGTAACTACCGGATTTAAGCTTCGCTTGTCTTTTCTTTAACCACTGAATTGTGCTTCCATTATAATTTATTTAACTACTAGATTAACTTTCGCTTGTTCTTTTATTTCATTCTTATGATCATAAAGAAAACAATGAGTAGAACGGATAACAAAAGGTAAAGCGGTATGGGCGAAAGAATTTCTAAGGTGGAAAAATGTAATGTAAAAAATGGTGGAACGTCGCAAAAGTCTAAAAGGCATAATTGTATCTACGCATGAAAGATCTGTATATCTATTTGTCCTAAATGGAACTGACTATGTGTCCTATCTATGCACAAGGCCCAAAGCACTACACTCCAACCTTGTATTGCACGCCTTTGGATGCCACAGCAATTCCCCTAACACTGCATTCATTAAAGCAATTAGACGCAAAATTCAAATTCTTCCAAATGGGTTAGAAAATCCAAACTCAAATATGACATCGATTTTTAATCCTTTCGCTACAAACGAATTCTACAGCGCGCTACTCCCGCTGAATGATCTGACGCGCTGAAAGTGTGCACTTAAAAACTATCGGTGATAGATTGTAGAAAAGAAAAGATGAAAAAATTATCACATATATTACAATTAGAAAATATACCTTTTAATAATATGATTTCGTATAAAAAGTTTCAAAATCATACACAAAGACCTTAGCCACCGTTCGTACGTAGAAGGCGATGGGTGACTGTTGTCACCGTTCGTAGCGAAAGGATTAATGATTAAGGGGTTACATGGGTTTGGGACTTTCGACAAAATTTTTTTTTTTTATTTTTTCTTTCAATTCTACAACTCATCTAGAATATTGTATTCAATTTT